TTTTTGCCAGAAAAAATCAATGGTGACCTCGAAATTTTTTCTTTGAATATCCTGATTCTTTAAGACTTGAGGATATAAAAACACTAGAAAACATAGTATATCAATCTTTGGAGGGCGTTGCTCAAGCGAGAAAAAATAATGCACTGAAAATCGTTTCGGCGAACACTTTTGACCGCTACTGTATGTAGATTAACTTGGATCAGCTTTTCGATTAATTTGTTTACAAACCATCACTGGGTCTATGAAACCCTCACAAATGTTCCGCATTAAGCAGTGCAGTTGCTTTTCGAACCCTTGCATTGAACCCCGACAAGGAACTCTTCATTATACGCTGTAAGCAAGAAGTGTGCGCCCACGAGATTACCAAAAACTGGATCACATCTGTTGCAAATTCTTATTAGACCCTAAATTTTCTGGACATATTCTATTGCATTTGCTTTGTCAGAACGATTTAACAGACAGGAGCAGGGGAAAGCAAAGTACTACTGTCATAAAACAGGTATTTCTGCAACATTCGATAGTTGTCGCATTAATAATAGTTTTTTGAAATCAATTGACTCGTGTGCGCAGTGTATTGTAGCTAATTTATCAATGAATCAATGTGCGGTGAAGGGTGTAATGAATTTCATCACACGACCCGGGAAAATTCCTATCAAGACATTTTAAACAATCAAAGTGGCTTTGATTTACCAGGACAGTAAAGCGGTTCTCTCTCCTTACCCAGGGAAGCCTTTCAGAACACGGAAGCGCTTGTCAAAACGGTCTTTGCGTGCTGTAGGTACACGCGAATGGAGCAGAAAACTGAGGATCATTTTGTTCTGAGCGGCTCTGGGAATACCAAAAGGTATGTGGAAACAGCAAGGTTCGATCCTCGTATACAGGGGTGGCCGCAAGAAAAGAAACACTGTCCAGAACGCATATGAGCAAGCTTTACCCCACACAATTGCCGTGGTCGATGGAAGTCTCTCCCAAGAAAATATTCCTGAAAATGTCCTTCTACAACGTGGAAGCACGTCCCTGCTCACTGCCCTTATCGTCCTTATGACGCAATCTGTCAGCACCGTCGGGCTCAAGAAGGATTACCGTAATCAATCACTTCCAGCCTGAAGGTCTAACATAATTTCTTCAGTCGGTCTACAGATGGCTAGCTTCTTACAAGGGAAGGATACCAAGTCGAAGTGACCATCCGTGAATGAAACCTACTATACTCAGAGATGTGTTTTCGGACGCTGATCTCGAATCCACTCTCCAAATTTGCGAAACGATTCTCTGAAAAGTGTTACGGAGGTTGTTTCAAATGAAAGCCCACTGTAAAGAGACTCCGGCAGCCCGAGACTGCCAGCGGCGAACTCTGGCTTACAAATGCTTTCCAAAGTTATCTACGTAAATCTAGAAGAGGTTTACTTCATGCATCAATCCACTTTCGTGCAAGGTCGCGACCACTGATCGGATGTTGTCTAGCCATGGAAGGTTGATAAACTCCGATCATGGCTAAACAATGAGAGTATGCTTGCTCCAACGGACCAATCTATCCTTTGATCCACAGATTCTTGTGTAAGCACAAAGAACCACAAAAGTAAAACGTAATCCCTCGCCTCTAATAGTGTGGCACTGGTTCGATTCCTTCTCCTGCTTAAAGGAAGTGGGTACGGAAAGGAATTTTCACATCTGCGGAGAACCTGCTCCCCACAGAGCAACTAGCAGGCCGCCAAGGAAGCGATGTGTGGCGCTTGCACTGCGAACAGTGCTGTGGTTGCTGAGCAGGACCATTGCGCCCTTCCGCCCCATGCGCCGCCCCGCCCCATGATTCATCGGTGGCTTGGGCGAGCCGTGTTGCCAGCCGCAGCGCGGTTAGGGCGCCATGCCTGCTGTTCGCTGCCCAGCACGCGTTGCGCAATCTCGTCCACGCGTGCGCGGTCTTCGCCGCAGTCCATCTGAGAGCCGCAATAAACGGCCCAAAAGGGGGTCCCATTTCTCGTTTCCTGGACCGATTTCGCTGCTTCTTTCGCCACTGACGTACCATTGAGGACCCCCTCGTCCCCTCTAAACCCCATTCAAACCTAGCGTAACCGCTGCCTTTAAGCCAAACCGAGAGATTTCCGGAATTGAAAGTGAAGCACACACTGACTCCATAAAACTCTTCCCAGTAGCCTTCCAGAGAACAATGATCAGTGATCAATGAGGTTATGCCATTACCACGGCTCGAAAGTGCACGGCAACGGCGCTGGGCCTTGCCAGTTTGCCTCCATACGCTTCCGTTTGTTGCTCCTCGCGATTTGTGCGGAGGGATGGCCGCGTTCTCTTGCACGACATACTGTCTCACCCACTTTGTCTCGTAGCCCCTTGATGCCGCCGTAGCACGGTATGTCCCATGAAAAAGCCCTTACTCCTAAGTTTCCTTTCTATTCTTCTTCATGGCAGGCCACTTCGCACCTCCACTTTCAGTCTGAGCAGTAATGGCCATAGGCTTGTCGCGAGGTATGCTTTTAAGCCCATCAGCAAGCCGCTATGTATTATAGAATCGATGACGAGCCGAGGTAGGGCTCTATACAGTAGGAGCAAAGAAGCATGAAGCTCGGGTGGATGTATTGGCAAATTTGTGAAATCAATAGTGTTGATGCGTTGCAGGCAAGGAAAAAAGACGTTTCAAGACCTTGACTAATCCGCCCAGCAAATTAACCAGACATCCGCATCACACCAGCAAACGCTTTTTGGCCATTTACACATTCAACACAGTCAACCATTTTAAAAAAAGCATGGGCCGAGACTAGAGTTCGAGGTCCCTGTATTGCGCTTGAGAATTACAGCAGAAATCTGAGCTGTAACACCAGCGAAGAAAAAAAAAGCAGTCAAACTAGTATCACAGTTAGAATGAACCTCTACTCTCCATAACAGCAGCGAAGGAGCCTTTCATGTGCGTGCATGTAATGGACGAGTTTTCCTATTCTATCATGCTTTGCTTTTAGATTAGATTTAGATCCACAGATTTCTTATGGACGGACCGTGCTTGATGACGAGATGTAATGAATGATCTATCATATGTTGCGAGAAATGCCATGCATTTCTATCTCTGAGGATGGGCGGTCACAGATTAAGCGAGGCGGCGATAGCTCAGAATAGTGGGCCAAGGGCGTAATTATCGCGCGCCTTCGAGTAACGTGCGTGGCTTCGTGGGCCCACCCCAGATTTGATGGAAATGGTTGGTTTGCGCCGTGACCGACCTATCGCTTCACTGTGAGAGTTGGACAAGGCACGCACGCTCCACGATTAGGCGCGCTCGCCTGTTCCATCCCGGGGTAGTAGACAGGCGGACAAGCGTTGATGTCGCACCCCTTTTGCCGCTTGAAAGTGCGCGACAAAGGCGCAAGGAGCTCGTCCGACCCGCAACTCACACCTTCGTCCGCAAGCCCCACCCTCCGCTGTCGGTTGCCACGTGGCGCTGCTTGAAAAGCGCGCGGCGCATTTGAGGCAGCGGTCCCATCGCGACCCAATGTCATTGGCACTGGAGCAACTAGAGTTAGGTTCGTGAAACTCGTCCAACGCGCCCTTCTCTATCTCAAGGTGGTGCGGATAGGGGAGGTCTCTGTGCGAGGGCGTAATCGGTTGTTTTGTTTGCTTTCCTTTCTTTTCCAGACCACCTCCCACACCACCTAAATGAACGCTTTTCCACACCTATTCTATCCCGAATCTTGCCTTTAAAGGAATCTTCCACGGAAAAAGCTCCGCCCTCATTACCACAGAAAACGATACCTTAAAGGAATCTTCCACGGAAAGAGTGATCATTTTGTCTTGTGTGTAGGATTAGTATTATCGAAACTAACGCTTATGTTCCGTTCTTTTTGCTATGCTCATGAGGCTAGGGGCCTAAGGTATCGTTTTTCTGTGGTAATGGAGGCGGAGCTTTTTCCGTGGAAGATTCCTTTAACCATATGCAACTGAATAGCAATCGGTGGCTGTACATAACGAAAAGCTCAACTGTCTAATTCAGAAGGGTGAGCGGCAATCAAATGAACAGCCGATCAATGGGCGGTTAAAATGTCTCATCGAAGACCTACCCCTTAATGCTTGAAAGGAGGGTAATCCACGATAAGAACGAAAGTCAAAGAAGGAGAAAATTGCATAGTTGGGGGACAGGCGGACCTGCTGAGGGTGCTGACCGACGCGCAGTTGGCAGCGAAAGACTTGTCCTCAGCAATCTACATGGCTCACTCTTGGCGCGGTTGGCGGGGCACAAGCCCCATCGATATCTTATAACTCGCCGCAGGTTCATGACGCGGCGAGTGATTAGATAGCAGAGAGAGCGTAATGCTTGAAGAGGGCACAACGATGAGAGTCGCATCAATGCGGAAATCAACGGGCAAGAAAGGGATCCCATTTCTCGCTAGCCGTTGCACATGATTTCTTCTTCCTTCCTGCTCCACTAGCCGCTTCTACCCTTATTCCCAACGAGCTACCTTTTCATCGCTGAAATCTCTTAAGACAGTTTAAATCAGCTATGGCTGGAGGAGGCGCGGCGCTGTTTTGATGACGACAGTGCCCGCCGTCGGCTGTAGGACGTTAAATGGCAGTCCAACCACACCCCCCCCCCAACCCCTACAGCGCTGAGGAGTCTAGTCCATTGATGGCGTTCACCGACGTCGTCAAAACTGCACCGGCTTCGAGCCATCCTGATCGTAGCGACGCGCGACAAACCGCACATGATGATGATGATATGCGTACTGCGACCGCGCGCCACCACAGCTGCAGAAAGCGCAGCGAGCAGAACTGGACGCAAAGCACTTTATGCATTGATCTAATGCATACTGCATGATGCGCCATGCGCATACAACCAGAAAGGGAGGAGCTGTTTTGTTCGTTCATTAGGCTTTTTTAGTTTCAATTTTGTCAGCACACACTTTAAGAACCGAAGAAAAACAGATCATTCTCATAGGGATTATTGATTTAGAACAACATTAAGAAAATGTAGGAACAAATTTTAATTACGTGAAGGTGCAGGCAAAGTGATCGTGAGCAGTCGGGTAAACTCTAGGTAGGTTTGGTATTTGGCCACTCACGTCTTGTTCTTCCGTGAGGAACTTCTGCAGATCGGCCACTGTCACGCCTTCCACTCCTTCGCTGCTCGCCATGCGCAGCACATGGTGCAGCTCGGGACGTTCTGTCAGACAATCGAAAAACCTGAGAAACTCGTTCTCGTCCAACACGCCGTCACGAGTCGATTTCTCTTCGGCTTCCTGTAAAAAATGCTTATTGCGAACATAACGTCGTTCAGCCGATCTCGCTGGACTTCATTTCGCCTAATTCTGGCACGAAAAACAAAGCAATACTAATTTTAGCCGCACTCACCCTAAACATGGCCCTAGCGTACTTTTCGCTGATTTCCAGATTCATTTTCTTGAGCAAAGACCACAGCTCATTGAATGAAAGTGTACCTGAAGTGATCGACTGGTCATTGATAGAAATTAAGCCCACTGAGAATATGGGATTAGGTACCATTTTTGTTGGTATCAGCCTCGCGGAAACTTCTGAAGAATCCACGTTTGCTCGTTGAAGTGAGCCCTTTGCTCCCTGACCTTTGAGATGAGGTACGTTAATGCGGAAACCCATCGATCGCGATCCTACAAAAGAAAATCTGGCGCACGTGGTGCAAGAACGGAAAGCAGGACAAGAGGACGCGATGTGCACACCTGCTTCTTATTGGCCGCAAAATCCACTGATTTGTGCAGAAACTTGGCATGACTAAATATCACAGAGAAACAAGTGGCTTCCTAAACAGCGAAAACACATATGACATGGAAGAATGAGAGGTTAAACAAATTGCAAAAATATACCGGTGCTGCTTCCTGAAATTCGTACTTCTTTGCAGCTTTGTGCAGATTGTCAGTACTGTACCCAGACCGTACTTCGACGATATCCGTCACAGGAACTGAAATGACGCATTTCAGTATGGACACGCTCAAGAAACGCAAGAGATTTGTGACGAAGGGATCCCTAAATAACACTTCATTCATGATAACTTCTACAGATTATGTTAAAAAAGGGAATCATCCAATGCATAAGTATAATTCTTCAAAAAAAGACCAACAAACAACCCTGGACAAAATAATGGATGAAAAAAGAAGCGTGGCGCACCCTTAATATATGGGCCACACCAATTCCGAGCGCTTCTAAAGTGTACAGTAGCAGGTACGAAACAGTAGATACAACGGACGTAACACTAAAAGATAGAAAGAATCGTAAAAAAAAGCCCCGTTCACTTTAACCCTTTCGGCCCTGGTGGTGGCTTCTACTGTGGCAATTTTCAAAGCTTCATAGTTTCTTGATTTGTGATCGGAAATAAATGTTCGTTATGTGCTCACAAGTAATAAGCAATAGCAGGAAGATTTTTTCCACGGGAAAAATTCAGATCCAAAAGGTTAACGTAGAGGTGACATAATGTCTCCTTTGAGCACACAGGACTCTTAAATTGGCTTATTTTATGAGGTTTTCATGGAGCGCACATAGCATATTGGTGTTCATATACCACCGCCGCGATTTCATTCTTTCATACGAAGAGAAGATAAAAGAGCTTTCTTTGAGGAGCAATAGTAAAGGAAGTTTCAAGGCATCCGAAGTTCAACCTCAGTTAGAGAATCAGCGACTAGCATGTTCGGGAAGGGAACGGAACGAAAAAAATAATTGCTTGCAATCAGTCGGATTTGACAACAAAAACCTGAAAAAAATCTGAAAACTAAGCAGTCATTGCCGGATTCGCCGCCAAGTTTTTTACTGTATGCACGGCAGATGCATCTATGAGGACAGCATACACACATTCGTTTGAACAGATAGGGTGCAAGAACATAAAGTTCATTAGGGATTATACTACCTCTCTTAAATTGGTTCTGCTTTGCTCCCTGAGTAGACACCCTAAAAAATTGCCCCTCTTACGGCCTATTTGCATTGACCCTCCACTGGTTTGGAATATAATCACATCGGTCGCACTTCACGTTTGAACCTCCGAAAACATACGGTACCACCTCATGGCTATCGTTAGCTTGAAAAATACATGGTGCGGAGCTCACACTATATTTACCCCTCTTTTGCTTTAATAAATATCAACAAATGTGCAAGAAATAATAGAATTGAGACAAAGGACTACACTGAAGTCCTATAACTCAAGATGCAGCTGGAGGGACTAATAAGAAAATGGAAGTCATAGAGTGTATTGTGTACAACTAGGTAGCAGATGCAGTCAGGTGGGTAGGACAAATTCCCTCTTTCCAGTCAACTCCTATTCTTTTGATCGTTATTTTGGAGTCTTCGTAATTGAATGACCGGAATGGCAACGAAATCTGGCCAATGACGAGGAAAAAGGCCATTAAATGAGGAGGTCAAACCCGCCTCGGGTAGGAGTTGCAGTGGCAGGCATTGAGCCTTTTTTATGACAGATGATGAGCGAATATCATAAAGAGCCATGGAATTCAAAAGGTATAGAGAACATGAATATCGGAAGAAAGTAAAAAATCACAGCCGTGTACATTCGGTTCGATTTATTTCCAACTTACAACTGAAAATCGATTCAATGAAGAAAGTCGAGCAATGGTTTAGTTTGCTATTTACGAACGACTGAGCGATGAACGAAGAAAGGAAAGGAGAAGTATCGTGGTTGCAGCTAAAAGAATCCCAATCAAAAAATCATCTTTACCTGGGAAATATTTTTAACATAGCACTTTCTCTTTGTGATCGGAACCTTGAGATTCCCATCTGGTGACGGCACGAAGCCCTAGAGAGGATAATAACCCTACTATCGAGAAATTCTCCGCTGCGAACATACACGAACTCTCAAAGCAGACATTGGGGGAGCTTAACTGATACTTACTGCGCATTCCTGGTAAACTACCGTTTTGGACACTGATCTCTTCTACTACTGCTACCACTTGGAAGACAAAGAGATTTTCATGACCACCTCACGTGGGAGCGGAAATGAGAAAAACTCATTTCACAAAAAAAACCTTTCAATCTCAAAAAGTTTTACTTCCTATATCTGTTGAAAATCCGACCTAATTCAACATTCACTCTTACAGTCCCAAAATCGAAGATCAGACTCTGCCTTCTCCGGTTTATCTACTTCTCTGCCAGCCAAGGGCTGATCCTTCTCACGTTGTTGGTGCAATCCATTTGAAAGCGGTATCGCACTTTCGTCGCTGCTCATTACGACTGGCTTCACGGCTTACTCGACGCTTAGAAATTTCGGCACTTTGAACGATACAAGACATCTTCAGATTCGGTGAGCCTCCCTCTACGACGGAATTTGATCGAAGTTCATTCCACCGAAATCGTCTCAATTAATAGTTGATTTTCTTATACGTGTGACGAACAATGTGAGACTTCCCCCGAATTTTACTCTGGCAAAAGTCTCTAAACACTTCTACAAAAAGCAATTGGCAAAAATTGGTGAGTTGCAAAAGTTTTCCAAAGCTTAGGGCTTTCTAGGCGAGTCTGGCCAAGTTTGGCAACAATTATTGCCAAAATTTCTTGTGTTTTCTAAAAATTTCTGTGTTTCTATTATTTCCTGACTTAAAAAAGAGAAATAATGAGTTCTTGCGAAAAGTGCAAGACCTTACACACTCAAATGGAATTGGATTCACGCCTTGTGGTGCTCATCTCACCTTTGAAAGCACGACAAAATCGCAGAGATAACCAACTGATAGAAGAGAACAGCAAACCTAAACACCTGCTGATCGGTATGCCGTTCCAAAACGCATTCAATGTTGGTTCTCATTCTCAAGAAAGGGGAAGCATCCTCACACATTAAGAAATTTGGTTCCTTCCCCCCCCCCCCCAAGAAGTTGAGAAGTGACCAGCCGCGTAACGACGGTGGTGGTCCAAATTTCGTGAAGCAACGCGAATTACGAAGGTTTTCAGCTACACGACTTTCACACACAAAAGGTATACATCCATGCACACGGAGTACTCGATTCCAGCGCACGTTCCCAACACTTTTTCAATTTGCCCATGTTTTTCTCGTTTACGTCATTTTGTATGTCGCAGCTTTTTACTTATTGCTTTACAGGACATATCTAAAAACAACTGTTCGAAGTGCTGAAACCGTGCCTCGACTGCTCAACTATCACTGAACCGACTAAGTGGGTTATTTGTTGCACCAAAAAGACTTTTGAACCAGCAACATCTGGCAGCGCCTCGGAGTTGAAAGTCTTGCGACTCAGAAAAGCTTTCTGAGAGAGACAAGCACCAGAAGCCGAATCAATGTCAACGAGATCTGCGACCAAATCCGTTGTTATCGGAGCCGCTCAGTTTGCAAGGTGACCAAGTATATCGGTATCAACTGTAGACCTTAGAAAAAACCCCACTCTTCTATAGGGGAAAAGTTTAAAGCATTTAGTATTGGTCGATAACTTTGTGGAATACAAAAGGCGTTCCACTTCCATTCGGCACCGCCCCACTACCATATATGGCTGCCGTGAAATGGTAGTGCAGTTTGTCTCCGATAATTTGAGGAGGCCATCAGGTTTACAGTGCTTTTAGCCCAGCCAATTGATAATTACCAATCATAGACAAGTGGAAGGGTGGTAACGCGAGGAAATTTGATATTGGATGTCCCCTCCGGCTGTGCGCGTGTCATTTGAAACCATCTGCCATTACACCTCCTTCCATGCCTGACTTTAGAGAATTGTAAAATAGAGCCTTGGAAGCTCAAATGTAGAGCTGCCTTACAGATTCTCTCCATGAAACGCTATCGAATTCGAAAGTAACGAAGAATTACGGACTTTCCACAGATTGCTGCGAAAAGGTTCGACCAGGAAAGGTCATTTGGTCAACCCGGCCATTTGAAATGAGATCTACAGGGGTAGCCAAAAAAAGACACTTCACTTCCACATTTCAGACAGCATTAACCACACTTTGCTAAAACCAAATCGACTGCCTCCAACTCCAGCTATTGAAGAGCACATTCTAATCTATCTAAAAGTTACATGACAGCCTTCTACACCCGACGACGTCAGAAGATTTTCCCACGGCGTAACATGGATCGTCGGTACGCCCAGGGGGGTATCGAGGTACCACAGACCATTACGTCCCCGAAACGCAGGTCAAAAGCGGTTTTGCATAGTGACAGCTAATGTCTCTAGCTATTCAACAGTTAATCACTGAGGAAATTATGTAGCAGCTTCAGGTCGGAGCGATTACGGTAAGCCTCGTTGAGCTCGACGGTGACGGCAGATGACGTCATATTCTGAAGACGGCGGGGGCAGTGAAGGAGGGCCTGCTTCTGTTTACGGAGGAACACCTAAGGAATATTCGCCGTAAAACTTTCATTAACATCGGCTCCCTGTGCGACGAAAAGTTCGATGATGTGCGCCATGGGCAAAGTGTCTCTTTTTTTGGCCACCCCTGTATATATGTATACGCGCCTTGGGACGCTGAGCTCAAATATGTGTTCCTTATCTGCTGAACTCTTCTCTGAAAGGAATTATGAAGCAGAAAAGCGCAGGGGCTGTGGTCGAGGCTCACGAAAAAGAGGTCAGGGGATCAACTCCCTGGCGAGTTTGTTCTTTTGCCGTTTGCAGTAAGATAGCTAGGAAGACTCCTAAACATCGCTAGTCCAACATGCTTGCGTATAGTTAACAGTACAAAGAATTTAAGGGCAATTAATAACGAACTTGGGCGGCATCGCTCCTCACTACTTTGGGCGCTTGTAGCGCAGGCGCCAGGCATTTTTGCTTCGAACAAGTATGATATTCGTAATCAGGGAGCCAGACTCTCCCTTTGAGCAAACTTCTAGCGAATTCTGAAATTTTGACCTAACCTCGAAAATTTGGGCAGTCACTTACTCACCGATCCACCAATCCATTACAAAAGGCTGGCACTTGGGTAGAATAAACCTTTTAACACTTTTCATAATAGACAAAAATTGTGTCTGGCTTGCCCGTCTGCATCATCCAAAGATCTGCAAAGCATTATTTCCTAATACAACACCTTCTCTCCCCTTTCCCCCGTCGTCCATGATTGGTCAACCCAAAAAAAAAAAATCACCTCTGTGATCCATTCTCCCAGAGAGATAATGATAATGAGGAATGCAGTTCCCGTCCTCAGAACTGTCACAATAACTGTTTAAAAACCCCCAATGAAGTAAATGCCGCATTGCGGTGAAGAACAGAAAAAGCGACCCTTATGGTAATAAGGTGGAGGTGGTGTAGCGGTAACTACATGGATGGCGCGCAAGTCAAACACTAGATCGGATCATACCCTAGGCAATGCAGCTAAATGGACTCTAATATTTGACTCCGAAAAAAAAAGATTGATTAACAAAAAGTCCTTTGTCATTCTTTTTATACACTGTGAACATGCGACTTTTCAGCTGCTCCAACAAAATTTTCTTCCAAACATTCAAACCAAGTGAAAATCTCGTCCAGCTTAGGAGAGATTCCGGGACAATTTCGAGGACTTTCAAATTTTTACTTTTAACAGCGTAGATGAGGGTTTTCAGAAATTGTGTCATTACGATAGATGATTGAAAGCAAAACCCAAATTTACACATCTGAACTAACAAGCCTTCTCAAAAAACAAGTAATCCCCAAAATCTCTTAGGTTAGTTAGAAGAGTTGCCGTTAAAGATATGCACAAACCACGGCTACCATAAAGATTACAATGTATTCCTGGTCAATGGACAATCTCTAGAAACTGGGAATCCACTCCTCGCTGATTGCTGCTTTTTAAAATGGTATGAGGAAAAGCTGGTCAAAACTGCTAAATTTCCAATTACTCCCACAAGCAAAGGAATCAGCCAAAAACTCCTTGAAAGTAAATTTCCAAGGGTATTTGAGGTAGGTGGTTTCGAAAAATTTTTTTTTGGACATGCGAGATTGCGGAAAGATACGCTAAATAAATTCTGCACCCACATTTCTCCAACGATTGATCCTACCATAACAACGGATGGTACATACAAGTGATAGAATTAATACAAGTGGAATTTAAATTAAAATTAAAATGCTGATTGTGAGGCGTAATTAAGAGAAAGCTTCCTCTAGGATAAAGACTCACCTAGAAATGATTTCGCGGTATTTCAGAAGGGATGAATAAGGGCACCTGAGCATAGCCTTCACTATGAAAGGAGCTTGTATGAGGACGCAGGATCGGCCTGACTATTCGAACGTTTTCGAAATTTCGTGCACCCCCCCTCGTCATTCTCAGAGGCGTATCGAATGCGACCCCCCCCCCACACATGAGACCTAAGAGGCTCCTATTACGGACGCCTGTCCCTCTGATCGCCGACAACGCACCCTTGCCATCACCCGGACTGTTGTTGTCCATAGTATTTGAATGAGACCAGATATCATCCGCCCCACCCATTCCCCTGCAAAAGGCAGCGTCGAGCGGGAGGGGGGGGGGGGGGGTATTACTGAAATTAAACGGCAAATTTTCTCTACTCCCAGCTACCATCCTACCTTCCTACCTTTCCCCCTGCGCATCAGTTACATTCATTGAATCCTCAAAAACCAAACTAAAGCTACTCCACCTCACATTTCACTCAACAAATTACTAATCCCACTGCTGAACCCAGAATACGATCCCCCTTTCCCAAAACCAATCACAAATGCCACCCTCTTGTTTGAATAGTGCGAACGTACGGTTGACCCTGGTAGGGAGTGGAAATAAGCCAAATAAGCCATTTACCATGTGCCAAGATTATTTACACTTGTCAAATATATACCTGATGTATCGTAAATATGTAATATATGCATGCGGTGTTTATGTAAAAGATGCCCATGGTATAAAAAGTGATATTTATCGCGCAGCACGCGGCGGCAGTGTAAACTGGTGTCCGCCGTACACGCCCGTTAACGGGAAAACGTCCTAGTACGTAATGGGTTAAAAGACAAATTGAAAGGCAGTTGGTGGATTATTCCAGTATTTTTACTGTTTGATGTATCTTCTGACGCTCCTTATTTCCCTGTGGGTACAACGATCAACCCAAAAAGTACGCCCGAAGTCCTTGAGCACGGGTGACAAGTAATGATTACAGCGAGTGATCTTTAAATATTTCAACAACTATTTTTATTAAAAAACAATATCGGAGCACATAAACCTAAATCATAGTCTTCATCTATGTCAGGCTTTCCTTCTTTTTGCTACGTGAAGCATGGACGCTTTCCCGAAGAACTCTCTCCGCTTTGACTCGAAGAAGTGACTCAA